CACACTTTCCTGTGTTTTGTGCAGAGAAGAGGTATTTTCACTATGTCCATGGGTGCTGGAAAATACCCTTCTATCAGAAGACTAAGGAGCCGTGATAGCGCAGTGGATTATAAACTGGACTGCTAACCCAAGGTCAGAAGTCTGAATCTGCTAGTCCCTCCACAGGAGAAAGATGAGGCTTTCTGCTCCACTCCCATAACGATTTACAGCCTCAAAAACCCTATATTGGGCATGTTTTATTCTGTTGTGCAGAGGGTCATATGAGTCAGTACTGACTCAATGGCACCAACAACAACAGGAGTCAGAACCAACTGGATGTCACACAACCACCACCACCATCACTACCAAAGGATCAGACAGCCATTAGCTCTGTGACAGGGAGTGAGACAATGGGTCCATGCAGATATCTTTTTTATCCACAGGAGGAGTCTGTTTCCCCTCCCTGTAGGCAGATGGAAATTAGAAAGTCCGATGTTGGCTCGTGCCAGAAGGGTTTATTCATTGTGGTGTGTTCCAGGCTCTTGTTGTCCACGCAGGCAGCGCAGGCAGAAACATGTCTCAGTGATAAATATGCTGTTGTTTTAGCACCTCCTCAGTGTGAGTGTGAGCTGCTTCCACCTGGCATTCATTTCGCTTGTCAGTAGAACATGGTGTCTGCCTGGTTAACGATATCACTGATGGTAAAACAGCAGCCTCCATTTTATTTAAGGATAGATACTAAAATTCAGACAGTCCCTAAGCACCATGTAGGGAGATAGTGAGTGAACATTCGGCCCCTTGACAACATTGCTGGTTTGTCACAGATGTAGTGTTAGAGTGTCAGGCAGATTCAGATTATACTTCTCAAGTTATGAAATCTCTCAAGGACAAACTGATTCCCCTCTACCACGAAAACCATTGTGAGCCACTGGGTTCTCACAGTCCACTGGAGCAACAGTCAAGGAGGAGAACTTGAGGTGCCCAAGAGTCCCACCATTAAAGAGCATTTGCTCCTTTGCTTCTGTACCCATGCCTTCTCACTCTCCCCCAGCTCCAGGGACACTAGCTATTACCAAAGAACTGCCCCAACCTCAACCCAGAACACAGACAGAATGTTATCAGTTGTCTGATCAGGAAATCACCTGTTATCTGTCTTCTCTTAACTGTGAGGTTTCAGATTCTCAGAAAGGCCAACATTCCATGTGTTCCACTCTGGGTAATTTATTTATTGGTGTAGTTATTCACGCTCAGATCCCTTGTCTAGCCAAACTTCACAGACAGATCTGAATCTAATGAGAATGTTAAGACAATGGGAACACTCTCTAGCCTTCAATAACTCACTCTCAATTTGCAATTCCTTTATTATCACTGCAGGCTATCAGTGGGGAGGGAAAGAAAATAAAAACCAATCAAAAACAATGAATTAGCAAGGAAAAGATAATTAAAATGGACCTTTTTAAACTTAATTAACATGCAAATAAAAGTCATTAAGGTTGATCTCTTGCTTCATTATAAGCTGTAGGAAAATAAAGAATGAGAATAATTTCCACTGATGAAGACTCTGGCTGTTTGTTGTGTACATTAGTGGGAAATATGATATTACCTCTAACAAGGTGCCTACACATTTGTCAGTCATTAATATATTATAGATAAATTGAAGGGAAATTCAGTGATTTCATCATGATACTCTTTTCATTGCACAAACTGAAAACTTGGTTAGTAATTGACTGGAATGTAAAATCTATGTTATTTTCAAAAGAAAGATCTTATGTTTCTCCTAAAATTAGTAAGATAATTACAGTTCACATGAGAATAAAAACTGAATTATATATATACATATGCTGTGGTGATGTGTGTCCTGCAGTTGGTTCTGACTCATAGCCACCCTGTATAGGGTTTACAAAGCTACAAATCTTTACAGGAGCAGAACGCCTCATCTTTCTTCCATGGAATCATTGGTAGTTTTAAACTGTTGATCTTGAGGTTGGCAGCCTGACTCGTAACCATTATGCTACCAGAGCTCCCAGATACACAGACAGAAGATAGATAGATGATCGGTGTGTGTGTTGTTGTTTAGTGCTGTGGAGTTGGTTTTGACTCATAGCAACCATGTATAGGGTTTCTAGCTGGCAGTCCTTTGTGGTTAAAGTGGTGGTGTAGATGTGTCAGGCTATAAATCTCCACAGGAGCAGAAAGCCTCATCATCCTCCCTCAGGAGGGCTGGTAGTTTAGAATTGGTGACCTTGAGGTTAGCAGCTGGACTCCTAACCACTAAGCTACCAGAGCTCCTGGGGTAAATAGTGTTTTAAAAGGTGTGGTTAACAAAGGAATTGTTCTCACAGGCTTGTAAGGGAGGTGAAGGAAGCAAGTTAACAAGCTTTTGTTAAAAACAAGCTTTTTACTTAAACATCAGTAAGCTTGTTTGCTGCCTTTTGAGATTGTTACATCCTGAGGGTTGTTCAACAGACAGAGCACCTTCTCAGGAGGTAATATTCTGTTACATCTGCTGCATGTCTCCTTATTGTAACCAACCAGTATCTACCTCAGTTACAAATTACAAATGGCTTCCCAGTGAGCGAAATTTTAAATTTGGGAATCATGATTGTGAATTACAATGTGAGGTATACCTATTTTAGCTACAAAGTTATTTACAGGCTCCAATGCCCAGTGTGGTAGGTATTGTAGGATACACATGTTATTGTTGTTGTTAGGTGTCATCAAGTCGGTACCGACTCATAGCGACCTTATGCACAGCAGAACGAAACACTGCCCAATCCTGCGCCAACCTCACTACTGTTGATACGCTTGAATCCATCGATGCTGCCACCTGGCCAATCCATCTCATTGGGGGTCTTCCTCTTTTTCTCTGACTCTCCACCTTACCAAACATGGAAGCAGCAGTCAAGAAATCAAAGATGTATTGCATTAGGCAAATGTGCTGCACAAGACCTTTTTAAAGTGTTGAAGAGCAAAGCTGTTAGCTTGAGGACTAAAGTGCGCCTGACCCAAGCCATGGTATTTTCAATAACCTCATATGCATGCAAAAGCTGGACAGTGAATAAGGAAGACCATAGAAGAATTGATGCTTTTGAGTTATGGTATTGGAGGACAATACTGAAAGTGCCATGTGCTGCCAAAAGAACCAACAGATCTGTTTTGGAAGAAATGCAGTCAGAGTGCTCCTTGGAGGCCAAGATGATCAAACTTTGTCTTTCATACTTGGGACATATTTTCAGGAGGGACCAGTCTCTGGAGAAGGATACCATGTTTGGTAAGGTGGAGGATAAGCATAGGGCTGCTAATTGCAAGGTTGGTGGTTCAAACCAATGTCACTAGGAATCTGAACCGATTCAATGGCACTTAACAACTCCTGGTATGGCACTATAAGATAAGCACTGGACTTATAACTGCAAGGTTGGCAGTTCAAAACCACCAGCAGCTCCTTGGAAACCCTATACAGGGTCACTGAGTCTGAAGTGACTCCAGGGCACTTAACAACAACAACAACAACAACAACAACAACAACCTCACACATGGGATTCATGCTTAGCTCTGTTGGCTCAGCACTGGACTGCTAACCACAATGTCGGTGGTTCAAACCCACCAGCCGCTCCTTGGAAACTCTATAATGGGTCACTAGGGGTCTGATCTGATTCTACCACAATTAACAACAGTAGCTCCTGGTGTGACACTACAGGACAAGCACTGGAGTTCTAACCCCAAGGCTAGCAGTTCAAACCTTATGCAGGGTTACTATGAATACGAACCGACTCCACAGCACTTAACAACAACAACTTCATTTAACACTACTGGTTCTAGTTCATACCTTGCTGCTGACCAAGGCAACTTCTCAGCACAAATGCTAATAGGCACCAAACAACTTTCCAAACAGTTTGTGTTAGAAATCCTGACTTTTCCCTTCTTCTTTTTTCAAGCAGTAAAACGGCAACAAAATGTCTGAATTGTTTTTTCAGAAGTGCACATTTTGGTTTAATTCAAAAGGGAGATTTTAATTGAGTCCTAAAATCGGCATGACCTCAGACTTTTTGTGTCTTTCTTTCTTTTTCTTTCTTTCATTTTAAAAAGATTCTCGTCCACAGCAGCCTCTGTGACCTGCAGAATAATGGGCCCAAAGATGTCAACATCCTAATTCCTGGGACCTATAAGTTTGTCACAAGACAAAGGGAATGAATGCTGGTCTTGAGACAAGTAGACTGCTATGGGTGACCAGGGTGGGGCCCATGTAATACCAAGGGTCCATATATGGGGAAGAGGAATCAGACGACTCAGAATCTGCGAAATGACACTGAGAAAAAGAGCTGCCCACCATCGTTAACGACAGAGGAGGGCCACAAGCCAAGGGCAACAGGCAGCCTCCAGAAGATGGAAAAGGCAAGAAAACAGATTCTCCTCTGGAACCTCCATGAAGGAACGCAAACCTTGAGTTTTCCCCAGTGAGACCCTATTCCACTCTGACCCTGAGAACTCTACGAGCACAATGAATTCCAGTTACGACACAAGTCTCTGTGGTAATCAGCTGCAGCAGCAATAGATAACCAGCCCACCTTTCAGCTTCCTCGTTCCACTTGGAAATGAAGAAGAATTGAAGAGTCCGGGCTAATGTACCCATAAAACTTGTACACTCGTAATAGGAACTATAGGTACATATAGAATGACTCAGCATGTTCAAAGGCACTTCAGAATTTGCATGTTGTGATGGTCATGTGAGACATTCAAACATGTTCTTGCATGACCAGTGCAGGCATGGCTGACTTCATGTCCTCCATGCAGTGAGAGAAGCCAGCACTGCCGGTCATGGTGACCAAAGGGCAGATAATATTTACACAGCAGACATTTCAAACAGAAGCATTCCAGGAAATCAGTATAAATGTGTATTTGAAATTTTCATTTCTATGCCACATATATGTCAGTCACTTATAATGTTTTGTCAAGAGAAATGCAAGAATCATTGCAGGTCAGTGAGTTCCACGCTGGTCAGTGAGCAGTCCGGACAGACTCACCATCTCGTCGGTTGAGCCTTGCAAACCCAGGGCTGTGGCTGCTGGACAGCTGGGAGGAGCTGCTGAAGGCGGAGGAAGGCAGGGTGGAGAGCAGAGTCTCCTCACAACTGTCTGTCAGAGGAAAACACAGCATTCAGGTTAACGTTCTCATTACAACCATCTCCCTCCTGCAACTGAAAGCACTGCAAATCCCAGAGCCAACATCAGCCTTTATGGGGAGGGCTGGAAACATTGGCATACCCAAAGAAAACTGGCTGCTACTGCTTCTGTTTGGCACTGCTGAACCGAAGTCCCAGACAGAGCAAGAACAGATAGGGAGCGGGCTAACTATGGAATGGAAGAAACATGAAAACGATCCCGATTCCGAGTTGAAGGAAAAGCAACACCATTATTGGAAACAAAGAGAGTTTTAGTAGGCTGGCTGTCTGAATGTTCAATACACCAATATTAGTCACATTTCTATACTCCCAAATTATGTGGAAAATGTAATTTAAGAAAAAACAGTATTTACAGTAACAACACACTATCAGGTGCACCAGATACTGCTCAAAATCGGTCTGATTCCAGTAGTTAAAGATTTAACAGATTGCAAGAAAACCGGCTATGTGAGGAGCAGCTTCAGGCTGGCCGAAAGCTCCCGTGCACCCCTCCTGAGAGCCCACCCTGTGGACTTTGAACTCGCCCCCACAATTGTGTAAGCTGATTCCTTACAATAAACCCCTTCATACTTATCTCCTATGATGCTTCTCTGCATGCACCCCGATAGACTTATAGAAGCAGGGAGACTCAGCATTGAGGGAAATGCCCATTCTCCCAATAAGGATCCTTTTGCACTCTCAAGTGGGTGGCATACGCCCCAAACAGGAAGGTCAACTACGGGAACCTAGAGTATAAGGCTGGGGGAAGACGTGTCCCTGAGACCTACAGAGTAATGAGAAAAATAAGCCACTTTCAAAGAAAGTAAAAGAACTGTGAGGGGTCTGTGTCTCTCCACCACCAAAACGTACACTTGCTGTTGTTGTTAAGTGCTGTTGAGTCGGTTCTGACCCGTAGTGACCTTGCAGTTAGCAGTCTACACCAGGCCTCGTAAAGTTCATGCTTACCCATTGTCGTTCGCTCCGCTGTGATCCACAGCAGCCCTGTTGGACAGATAAAGCTGCCCCTTAGGGTTTCTGAGACTGGCATTCTTCACAGAAGCAGACAGACTCAGCTTTGTCCCATGCAGCAGCTGCTGGGTTTGAACCTCTGCCCTTGCTTTGGCAGCACAATGCTCATCCCACTGCACCACCAGGACTCCTCTTACAGGGTATTGAGTTCATTCTGACTCATAGTGACCCTATATAGGGTTTCCAAGGAGCAGCTGTTATGTTTGAACCACCAACCTTGTGGTTAGCAATCCAGCGCTGATCACCACATGGGGAGTCCCTTACAAGGAATACTGATGTTGTTAAGTGCTGTGGAATCAGTTTCAACTCACAGCGGCCTTGTATACGGTTTCTAAGGAGTGGCTGGTGAATTTGAACTGCTGACCTTGTGGTTCAAATTGGCCTTGTGATCTAGTGCTTTATCCCATAGCGCTTCATCAGGACTCCAAGGGATATGAACTATTTAAATATATGACCTATGTAGAAAACAACCAATTGTTAACAAATGCGTGTTGTTGTTGTTAAGTGTCGTCGAGTTGGTTCCGACCCATCATAACCCTGTATAGGGCTTTTGAAGAACGGCTGGTGAGCTTGAACCGCCGACCTTGCAGCTCAAACCAACTTTGCACAGTGCCACAAAGAAATAAATATACAAAACAGCACAGTACAACTGTCACAGGATGAGACTGGAGTGCTCACAGTCACTCCCAGACTAGGGGACAGTCTCCCTGTGTTAGAGTGTGTCTTTAGGAGTTTATTTAAAGAAGCTCTAAGCCATTAAGCCGAAAGTTCTGAAATTTTTCTTAAGTAGAAAAGGAGATGAATAACGTGTTCCCTGCGGTTCTTCATTTCCTTCCTACATCTTTGTGTTGGCTGTCGTTTGTAAAGAGTCTATTATGAATTGCTTGCAAAATCTATTGTATAAAACATTTTTCCACTACCCAGAACAATCAGCAGTACTTTAGCTTTCTTTTTACAATAGCTTCAATTCAAAATCATTATGTTAAATATTAAGGTGTGCTATCATGCTGTTTTAGTCAAGCTGCAATGTGATTTTCAAATGAACTCACAAAATCATTCAGTGTCCAACTGTTGTGCCCACATTGCCTGCTATGAAAGATGTGTGACACTGATGTATCTCTTTGCTTACTGTAAATAGTAAACATGTCAGAATCATTATTGCCATTACGATCGCTAAACAGATGGTCATATAGAAAATCCTTGGAACAAAATAAACAAGGAGGTATGAATGGATGAGCTGAATCAAGAGTGGCTTTCAAAGCAGACTAGTGGTCCCCACGCTTGTGGCCCACACAGGTTCTGAGACGTGAACTGATGCCCATGTTGCTGGGCCATGCAGTCCAGACTGTGGCTGACTGGGTATGAAGCCTGCACTCTCAGGCAGGCAGAACCCCACTAGCACACTGTCCTCACCCACATAAGTGTGTTGCCATTGTTTTCTCTGAGTGAAATTAGTCAGTCACAAAAGGAGAAATACTGCATAGGACCATTACTGTATAAGACTAAGAAAAAGGACCCATGCTAAAGTGGGGAGGATTCTTTGCTGGTTGCCAGATGTGGGTGGTGGGGTGATGGGAGGGAGGGGAAGGTCGAGCACAGGGCAGGGAATAGATACAGGATAGTTTGGGTGCTAGGGAGGGGGGGCAATACACAAGAAGGGGGGATGGAAGAACAAACTGGACGAGAAAACAATTAGGCAGGTATGCATGGGCTAAATGGGACAGAGGTAAATAATCATGTATGCACAACCTTAGAACAACAGGGCTCTGGGATACAGGGATTGAGACATGGTTGAAAGTGGGGAAATAATGTTAAGATGCTTGGTTGTCTTTTGAATCTTGGTTTCATGGCATACCATTATAAAGTAGACACTGGAGGGAGAGAGAAAGGAATAGCCAGAAATATCACCATAGAAGACTTGTAAAGTCCATCTTCTGCCTATAACTGATTGGAATATCTAAAATGGGGCTACAACATGCCCGTTGAAGGAGGGTTCCTGCAGAGCCTCTGCATTACATTAAGACCATAGGTGGAATCCTGAACCATATCCAGAATCTTCTGAGATGGGAAATTTCCACTTGAAAGGACAAGCAGACCAGCTTGGAGCTGCTAGAAGAATAGAAGATACTTCTTGAAAGAAAGACCTACAGGAAAAATACAAAACAATATAGGCAGTCCGACTGATTACTACAAGAGCAAGCAGGTTGCTCACCCAGGAGGCATCAAGGCAAATGGTTGGGTCCTCTCAGGGTAATCCCCCTTCCTAGACTGAGACAATAGAAATACATGCTCTAATTGGTGACCACGTTCATCACTGATAAGGGGACTTGGGGGAAGAACAGCAATGAAGCTGTGAGCTAAACTCTACAACATTCAATAGACTCCTGTGAACCCAGGTGAAGACCTGGTTGGCCAGTAATGTGGCAAGACCTGGGGACTCTTGGGCCCAGAGTCAATGACATAGCCACAGAGGATTAGAATGGAGAGTGAAGCGTCCAGCTGATAAGAAAAGAGGGAATATGCTCAAGAACACCCACACTTGCAGATAATACCCACTTGACCTGGCTTCAGTAGCTGGATGATCAGAGCTCAACTAGAAGAAGAAAGAAGAAGAGGGAAAAAAGAGTAATCTGATACAATTTGATGAACTTGACCTACACCTATGGATGCAGTTGCTCAAAAGAGGGAACAAATCTTTACAGCGAGAATCATTTTCACCCCCCTCCATATACAGGGATGGGCAACTTGGACATTGGCTACCCAAAATTGGGGGGGAGGAGGCTACAAAGGCAAGAAGTGACTGGCTTACAAGCTTTCAAGAGGGAACCTAGATCCAAAGGATGTGGAGGAAGGTAGAATCTCCACTGAGTTGTATCCAATCTGTCTGGGTGGGGCTGATGAAAGGAGATGGGGCTAGGTCTCTTGTGATACAATAGTGAATAATTGTCATCAGGACTGATTTTGTAGGTTTGAAATGTAAGGGTAGACGTTTTGTGGCAAAGGAGGGGAGCGATTGACTTTGTAGCCTAGGAGTGGAGGTCCCTGGGACCATCAAGTAAGAAGAGCGGAGAGCAGAACCCTACCCAAAAGCAGTGATGCCAGAGATGGAGGCAGAGACGGTGACATGGAGAGATGCAGCAACTGGGGACTTTAGACCCAGAGAGGAAGAGGGGCTGTGTGCTGAAGACCACTGGGGGAGCAGGCTTGCAGGTTTGGTTAGTTGATGATGCATGGAGGGGATTGTAACCATGGCAATGAAACGATATATGATAGGATGAATGTAAAGCAAATGTTCTCCCATGTAAACTATCACACATTTCACAATAAAACATTAAAAAAACAAAACAAAAAAAACACCCGTTGGAGCCGGGGGGAGATACTAGAAGGAGTGCAAGAGTTAAAGGTAATAAAGTAAATACGGTTCCATACACAACCCTGCAATGAGAGTGATCTATGTGTAGATGCATGGTCAGACATACAGGACGAACAGAGTAGGGTATACTCACACCCATATAAATATTTGACAGAGGATATTTTTACATAGGTATTTACCTATGTAAATGAGTGTGGTGGAACAAACAAGGGCAAATTTATGAAAATGTCTTATATATAACCGAACACCTTGAGAAAATGAGTCACTGGGTCTATGGGCTCAGAACCATAGTTTTAGGGAACACCAAGATAAGTGGGAGTAACATAGTCCACAAACACAAGGTTTTACATCTTACTTTGTCTAGGAAGCAATTGGGGTCTTAAAAGCTTGTGAGTGGACATCTAAGGTAAACTATTGGCCTTTCACTGCCTGAGTGAAAGAAGAGTGATGAAAATCCAAAGACACATGGAAACAACCTATCCAATGAACAAATAGCCCTAGAGAAAAACAGTTTTCATCAAATTGAGCCTAGAAAAACTAGATGGTGGCTGACTACCCACTATC